CTCAAGGGCAGGGAACTAGTTTATGGCGAGGGAACCCCTTTAAATGAATTAGGGTTAGAAACCTGAGTAAAGTTAGTGAACCCCTTTAAGTGTCTTAGGGTTAGGGAACCTGAGCAAGAATATAGCTCTCCTGTAAGTGTCTTGGGGTTTGGGAGCCTGAACAAGGGTATAGCACCCCTTCAAGTGTCTTAGGGTAAGGAAAGGGCTGGCTTCCATATTAGAGTCTTCAGATAAGGGAACCAAAGCATAGGTACAATGCCCCTTCTAGAGTCTTAGGTTAGGTAACCAGTACATTGGTAGGGCTCCCCTTTAACAGTCATAGGGTTAGGGAATCAGGGCAAGGGTAGGGCTCCCTTTTAACAGTCTTAGGGTTAGGGAATCAGGACATGGGTAGGGCTCCCCTTTAACAGTCATAGGGTTAGGGAATCAGGGCAAGGGTAGAACTCCCTTTTAACAGTCTTAGGGTTAGGGAATCAGGGCAAGGGTAGGGCTCCCCTTTCGCAGTCTAAGGGTTAGGGAATCAGGACATGGGTAGGGCTCCCCTTTAACAGTCTTAGGGTTAGGAAATCAGGACATGGGTAGGGCTCCCTTTTAACAGTCTTAGGGTTAGGGAATCAGGACATGGGTAGGGCTCCCCTTTAACAGTCATAGGGTTAGGGAATCAGGGCAAGGGTAGGGCTCCCCTTTCGCAGTCTAAGGGTTAGGGAATCAGGACATGGGTAGGGCTCCCCTTTAACAGTCTTAGGGTTAGGGAATCAGGATATGGGTAGGGCCCCCTTTAACAGTCTTAGGGTTAGGGAATCAGGACATAGGTAGGGCTCCCCTTTAACAGTCTTAGGGTTAGGGAATCAGGACATGGGTAGGGCTCCCCTTTAACATGCTTAGGGTTAGGGAACCAGGACATCTGTAGGGCTCCCCTTTAACAGTCTTAAGATTAGGTAGGGCTCCCCTTTAACATGCTTAGGGGCTAGGGAATCAGGATAAGGGTAAGGCTCCCCTTTAACAGTCTTAGGGTTAGGGAATCAGGGCAAGGGTAGGGCTCCCCTTTCGCAGTCTAAGGGTTAGGGAATTCAGGACATGGGTAGGGCTCCCCTTTAACAGTCTTAGGGTTAGGGAATCAGGACATGGGTAGGGCCCCCTTTAACAGTCTTAGGGTTAGGGAATCAGGACATAGGTAGGGCTCCCCTTTAACAGTCTTAGGGTTAGGGAATCAGGACATGGGTAGGGCTCCCCTTTAACAGTCTTAGGGTTAGGTAACCAGGACATGGGTAGGGCTCCCCTTTAACAGTCTTAGAGTTAGGGAATCAGGATAAGGGTAAGGCTCCCCTTTAACAGTCTTAGGGTAAGGTAACCAGGACATCGGTAGGGCTCCCCTTTAACAGACTTAGGGTTAGGGAATCAGGGCAAAGGTAGGGCTCCCTTTTAGCAGTCGGTTAGGGAATCAGGGCAAGGGTAGGGCTCCCCTTTAACAGTCTTAGGGTTAGGGAATCAGGGCAAAGGTAGGGCTCCCTTTTAGCAGTCGGTTAGGGAATCAGGACATGGGTAGTGCTCCCCTTTAACAGTCTTAGGGTTAGGGAATCAGGACAAGGGTAGGGCTCCCCTTTAACAGTCTTAGGGTTAGGGAATCAGGACATGGGTAGGGCTCCCCTTTAACAGTCTTAGGGTTAGGTAACCAGGACATGGGTAGGGCTCCCCTTTAACAGTCTTAGAGTTAGGGAATCAGGATAAGGGTAAGGCTCCCCTTTAACAGTCTTAGGGTAAGGTAACCAGGACATCGGTAGGGCTCCCCTTTAACAGACTTAGGGTTAGGGAACCAGGACATCTGTAGGTGTAGACAGGTGTAGACCAGAACTTCATTTTTGGAGGGCGCCAAAGCCGGTGATCAATGGGGCCGCCATATTAGTAAAATCCATGATGGCCGCCAATCCCTATTGGATCCTGTCCTATTTAAATAACCAAAAGTCATAGAATCATGAATGAAGGCTCTTTTCATAGGTTTTTGAGCTTTGTGTTGACATACAAAATACGCTTTGTCCAGAGGTTTTCCAGGGGCATACTTAAGGTTCAGGTTTAATTTGGATGTCACATAATAATGTTATTTTCTGGTCTGCAAATGAGTATAATGCACTGCTGGTGGTTGATGGTTTATATTACTGAACACATAAAGGTCACATGAATTGTTCCTTGCATGTATTTTTACTTCTTCAAGAAACGCTGATATAGGTGGTCATGACTAATTGTGCATTAATCACACGTAGGTGTCGTATATGGCTACTTGTCCAGTGAATGTATTCCTATATTTCCATCTCTGTAGGGGACTTTGCTGTGTTTGCCAGTCAGATAAAAGTGAAGAGTTGCAAACACCAAAGGCAGAAGGACTTTGCACTCTTGGCAGAAACCTGACTGACTTTAAGGAAATCAATGCCGTTCAGTTGGATATTTCAGTCTTCTTTGACCAAGTAAAAAATGGATCAGGTATTGTTGCAACACTCAGATCCTATAATGCTAAGTATCAAAAATCATGTAGGAGCTACTGTAGTAGTTCTCGTAAGAAGAGGCTGCGTCAAAAACATGAACACAGAGTCCACCCCAAAAATTCAGATCAGCGGGGGCATCCTATGGAAAAGGCAGTAATGTTAAATGCTGCATTATCTGTGATGGAGATGACCAGACCAATATACGGAAGGTGGCAACTGACACCGTAGATGCACATCTAAAAAGCTGGGCAAAGTCTAATGATAACTTCCAGTTGAAGGGTAAATCTATTGCACCAGCTGCAGATGCCCATGCTGGTGATGTTTTGTATCATGTTCAATGCTATTTGCCCTCCAAAGGTGAATTTAGTATGTTCTGGTCTACACCTGTGCGAAATTTGGTGCTTGTAGACACAACGCGAGCTATCCCCTTAAGGGCCTGGACTATTAAGAAATAAAAGCAATTATATTTGTTGTTGACTTGACTGCAAGGCAATTACCTACTAATAAGCTGGTCAGACCTAACATTTCCCCCTTACATTCACACCTTTATAATATAGACATATTAATTGCACTTCTTGTCAATTATTAGATTATTTTGGCAAACAAATATACTCTGGAAACATATTGTCCTGGAACCACAATTTGTATACTCCCGCGCATAACCAAATGAACACGTGCATGCCTGATTCCTTTCGCGTACCTCCCAAAATGTGAAGGTATGACAGGGAAACTGACACACCCATTGACAGAGATGTGTTTTGCGCATACGGCAGCGAGTCGCGCTATTTGAAACTGTGATGGGGAGTTCGATTCCTTGCTTGTAATTATCTTTTGTAAATATATACATGCGTTGCTGAATGAATGTTTTACGGTGGCGTTAAACTTAAGTAAGACATGATCAGAGAACGTTAAAGGCAATGAACATTCGTTGGCTGCTACACCTCATACTTTGGATCAGACTTGGAGCCACAGTATTAAACTTTAGCTATATTTCAGATATCTATGTTTCAACTATTTTTCTGCCGCATTAGTTGGTTCTTTCCTATTGACCTGGCCAGCTGTTTTCACGGCACATATTGTTAATACAAACTTGAAGCCCAGCCCAGCCCAGCCCAGCCCAGCCCAGCCGGCACGGCACGAAACAAACCTAAATGGTAGATATGAGCCATATCCAATCCTGTGGTATTTATAATACCTTTTTTACACCAATAGTAAAGCCATCTTGCTCCAGAAATCTATACAGGACTACGCAATAGTACTGCCATTTCAGCCAAGCATCATTACAACAATGTGATTGATGGGCGGTACAAACCTCATTGACACATTGTCACACTTTCCTCTCACGGGGTGTTTGAAGTGAACTTTATTCTATAAGGTTTGCACGTGAAAAAATGATTATCAACTCCTATGCGTTTGGAACGTGAAACCTTGTCATCGTCAGCGCAGCAACGTTCCCTCTGTGCTATCAAGATGTGCGTGAAGAGACGTATATGTAAAGACTATTGATGTTTTAAGAAATTGTTTTTGAGAAGGGTCATTCAGTTCATCTGATCACTCGATCCGTACTTGGTGTATGGGCCATTACTCCTACACCATTGTAAAGGGAGGGAGGGATCGGGGTGGCAGGGGGGGGGGGGGGGGGCGCCGAGGCGATCAACCACTGTACAATTTGAATTCTCCCCATCGGAGTATGCTTCCAACAATATATGGTTGATATCTATCTCTTAGTTCTAGAGAAGAAGTCCCTAAAATCAATATATCCAAATACCCCTATGTGGCCCTGCCCCTCAGCCCCCCTGTGTGTGGTGGTGGGGGGGATAGTGTCAGCCCCTCCATTTGTAATTTTTTAATTCCCGCCATGTTATGCTTTCAGTCACATTTCGTTTATTTCCAATAAGTGGTTCAGAGGAAGAAGTCGATGGAATCAATTGTTGACGTACAGACGACGGACAACGGACAGCGGACGACACCATCCAAGCTTTACCAAATGAACTGTCGTGCATATGAGATTCATCGACATGCATCCATCATTGGTTATAACTTATAGTAAAAGGAATTTTTAATTTAAAGTTTAAATAGTGCGCTGAGAAATGGTAGAATTTATATAAATATAACATACAATATTCCAGAAATATTATTCATAATCAACGAAAAGCTTTGTTCTTTTGGTTTTCCATTTTATCCGTCGCGTCTGTCTTTGTGGTTTAGGCTTTTGTTGCGTATTTACAAAACTCCAAGTATTATACGATGTGTAGTATTCATCCAGGAACTACTTCCGCAACGTTGTCAACTAATTTGGTACGCAGTATGCGCTGCTCCACCGACCACCTTTCCCCACCCCCCGAGCAAGGCCGAAAGGGGCAACTCACTCCAAGCCAAACGGTCAAAGGGCAGACAATTTTAGGCATAACCAAACATACAACCGCATGTGCCCCGAGTCATCCGGCCTCATGTCTGGCAGTCAATCACAACCACGACAACAACAACAGCTTCCGCATGCTGATGCAGTCGTTTCGTATTAAGGGCACAGCTTAAACAAAGGTATAGTATAACCCTGTACAATCTTCGTCAGTGCCCGTGTGAAGGCATTCAAATAATATTTCACCTGCACTACATGGTATTGGTCTTCACACTGGTTGACTATACTATGACAATCATTTTTTTTCGCTCATGTATTTCATATATAAGTCATATAGGTAATAACATAACATCTGGCTGTGTTGTGCGATCATTACCATCATATCAAAATACATATATTCAAACTTTTGGTGTTAAGCTTTCACAAGAAAGAATTCCGGGCGTATTCATTACTCAAACACAAGCTCTTACTTATGATGAACAAAAAAATCAAGAACTAAAAATAAAAATGTACAAAATAGAGTAAGACAAAACTGTTTTATTGGCATTCAACAAGTTGGTGAGTAAATAAGAAAACTTCAGTGGATAAGCACTTCTGTGTTTACTTTCGCATCCAGGGATGTATCCATGTTCATTCTTACAGTCATTCAGCTTGACAAGGGCGTGAACTCTATATCGAAACGCTCCAGAAAACCGCTGTGTCTGTCATCCGGATCTGTGCTTTGCAACGTGTTTAAACCTGAATCGAAATAAATACATTTCAATCAATGAAAGTACAAATTTAATATATCATCCTGATCAGCTCCACGTTAGACAATGTTATTTGCCTGTTTACTGGTTAGGGATACCTTCAGGGAATTACCAAATACATATGTATGCATCGCATAATGAATGACTTGGCTAATTAAAACTTAGTATTTGTTTGTTGGCTATGTGATCAGAAGAGGTCCGAATCCGTACATGTGTTTCGTGTCGGATTGGCGTCCAGTCTGCATTGCGGGCCCGTTTCACAAAGAGATCGTAGCGCTAAGACGGTCGTAAGTCTATCTTAAAGTATAGGAGTTACGGTAGTCGTAGCCCTACGATCGCTTTGTGAAAAGGGACCCTGCTGTGGTTCGCCTGGCTGATAACGTTCATACTCGTCTCGCGAAGCGCACCCGCCCAGCCATGGTGATTATATGGACGCATCAAACAATTGCTAAACTGAACGAAGCGTTATTATGTCGCAGGTACCCAACACTGGTGTACTGAGTGAGTGAGTGAGTGAGTGAGTGAGTGAGTGAGTGATCCCAATTGCTTATATCGATGCTCATGATGTCAATCACTGGATTGTCTGGTCCAGACTCGATTTTTTTTACAGACCGCCTTCATATAGCTGGAATACTGCTGAGTGCGGCGTTAAACAACAAACAAACAAACAAATATTTCAGACTGCCGTCATATTGCTTGAATAGCGCTGAGTGTGGCATTAAGCAACAGACAAACAGACTTGCTGTGTCATACTCTGACTACATGGGATGTTAGTCTTTGTGTTAATCACTGGTTTGTCTGGCCCAGTGTTCATGGCTGACAGCACACAAACAAACATTAAGCACTACTGTCAGTATTCGAAAGTTTCTCCATTATGTGTGAGGTTTTCTGTGTTTGCTGAGTGACGAGATGTGTTGTGTTGTGTTGTGTTGACAGACGTCAGCTTCCACCCACCCCGCCAGCAGACGACGAAGACACGCCACGCCTCCAGCGGCCGACAGTACCCCAGAGGACGGTCATCAACGTGACGCCCGCAGAGAAGGACCAAGGTTAGATACAGCTGTCCTCACACACACCTGAACACTTGGCTGCTGCTAGCTACCACTCACTCACTTACCCACTCACTCACTCACCCACTCTCTCCCACGCCCCACTCTCTCATATTCCACTCGCTCCAACGCCCCACTCTCATATTCCACCCTCTCATACACCCCACTCTCGCACATTAGATGGGAACGTTCCCTTGTGGAGAGCCTAGTTTATGTCTTGTGTCTGGTAAAAGTCAGTGTACAGAAAGTAACATCACACTAATGTTTAGCTTGAGAATATCTCCTCACATGGTGTCCACGAACCTCTAACCCCTAAACTCAACCCCTTGTGGCTCCAGAGGATCCCACTGTGTAGCAGCGGAATGTTAACTCAAGTTCGGCTTCTGGGTGCAGGTGTAGTAAGTGTTTAGAGGGAAGGGTGGCAGTGTCTAAGATGTAGCCTGTGTTTCAGGAGTGTCCTATGCGGAGCTAAGGTACGACATCCCCGGCCACACTGTGAAGACCGTTGACACGGAGCCGGACTCGCACTACGACAAACCCCTGCCTGGCGTGCACCCCCTCATCAACACCTCCCCCACGTCGGAGGGCATCTCCAAACACCCGCCGTCACCTGAGGGAGGTACGGCATCAGCATACCAGCATCCTTACACAAGGGGTTGGGGAATTCAGTGGCAATAGGCAATGTTAGGGGCAGATATACCCAAGCAGGAAAGCCATTAATCACTGTGTAGTTACCAGACAATAACAGGGAGGGGTCAAGACGGGAAGTGGAGGCTATGTAAGCTAGGTTTTGAGACTCTGCAAAAGTTATGCCTTAGGCAGTGATCTCATTATATGAGCTTTTTCCTGTGGCAGCTATTTGCTTTGTTCCCTTCGCCACTTCTATATTGATCTCTTGTTCTGTCTGCAGTATGCATTATTGTGTCTAAACCGTATAAGATCTATGAGAGCAGTGGTCTGCTGTGCTTAACTACTGGAGACTAAATGCTACATATTGCTACAGATAACCACCTTCTGCATCTTGTCTGTATTGTCTATATACACTGCGTTATTATACCGCTCCGAGGATGTTTGTGTGATGTCATATGCACTGCTGTGTAATACAAGTATTATACCACTCCAGGGATGTCTGTGTGTGATACTTACACTACTTAGTAATACAAATATTATGCTACTCCAAGGATGTCTGTGTGGTATATGCCATATGTGAGATGTGTGCAAGCATACATTCACTCATCAGATGTGTCCCCTATGGAGAGATAGGTGCTGAATCAGCAGTATTACCACAAGCATACATTCAGTCATCATACATTCACTCATCATACATTCAGTCATCATACATTCACTCATCATACATTCACTCATCATACATTCAGTCATCATACATTCACTCATCATACATTTACTCATCATACATTCACTCATCATACATTCAGTCATCATACATTCACTCATCAGCTGTGTCCCCTATGGAGAGATGGGTGCTGAATCAGCAGTATTACCACAAGCATACATTCACTCATCATACATTCAGTCATCATACATTCACTCATCATACATTTACTCATCATACATTCACTCATCATACATTCAGTCATCATACATTCAGTCATCATACATTCACTCATCAGCTGTGTCCCCTATGGAGAGATAGGTGCTGAATCAGCAGTATTACCACAAGCATACATTTACTCATCATACATTCACTCATCATACATTCAGTCATCATACATTCACTCATCATACATTCACTCATCAGCTGTGTCCCCTATGGAGAGATAGGTGCTGAATCAGCAGTATTACCACAAGCATACATTTACTCATCATACATTCACTCATCAGCTGTGTCCCCTATGGAGAGATAGGAGCTGAATCAGCAGTATTACCACAAGCATACATTCAGTCATCATACATTCACTCATCAGCTGTGTCCCCTATGGAGAGATAGGTGCTGAATCAGCAGTATTACCACAAGCATACATTTACTCATCATACATTCACTCATCAGCTGTGTCCCCTATGGAGAGATAGGTGCTGAATCAGCAGTATTACCACAGGCATAGGGTAGTGGGCACCTAATATGGCCTGGAGTCACCATGGGCTTGACGTGCATGCTTATAGAACTCCTATCGCCATTTCAATAAAATACTTGTCTGTTGTCTTGGTAACTTGAATACGGTGAGATATTATCCCATGTGAGATATGTCATACTCAGAAAATATCCTGAAGCTTCATGTGTTGACCCTTATGTCTCTGCTTGTGACGCTGAAGTCTTGGTCAGTCTCACTGTCACACTGTCTCACAGTCATGTGGTCACACTGTCACGATCAGTTGTCTTCTGTCTTGTGCCGTGCCAGTGATGGAAATTAACTCGAAAAACACAGGCCTTTCGGAATTGTTACTAGTCCTTAAAAATTAAGCAGACTCTTAAATTTAAATCTTTTTTTTCTTTTTCTTTTTTTTCTTTTTTTTAAATATTTTTTATTCAGTTCAGTATATGACATTAGAGTTATACATGGAGTAGCACGTCTTGTAGCATACTTGTTAGGTATAGGTTACCTATACAGCAGACAGCAGGTCAGCAAGTTTAAGTTCGGTACAGGTGTCCATCAAAGTTTACACATGGTGAAAACGGGCAAGTATTTGCCATATTTATTAACTAATCTTTTAACTCAATCTTTTAAGACTTGAAAGATTATGCCAGAATCGAGAGGCGATAATTAACAGCATTTGTTAAAAAAACAGGGCCTATAGCCAAGTAGAAGTATGATTATATTAGCCCGAGGTATTTTCTACTGGCCTCGGGCCTATTGGTGAGCGTTAATTTCCACCCTGTGTACTATTTTGTATTTATGTTGTTGTTTTTTAAAGACAATACCATTTAAACCACACAGTTATAAAGTATATAATTAAATATTGGGATGGTTATAAACAACAATTACCAGTTGGGTCCTTCACTCATCTTGAGTACCAGGGTGGTCGGGTAGCCTAGTGGTTAAAGTGTTCGCTCGTCACGCTGAAGACCCGGGTTCGATTCCCGACATAGGTACAATGTGTGAAGCCCATTTCTGGTGTCCCCTGCTGTGATATTGCTGGAATATTGCTAAAAGCAGCTTAAAACCAAACTCACTCACTCACTCACTCATCTTGAGTACCATGCAGTAGAGTAGAGTTAGTGACCCATCACCTACAGTCTGGGATGAGTTCTCTGTGACAGGGTCACTCACTCACTCACTCACTCACTCACTCATCTTGAGTACCATGCAGTAGAGTAGAGTTACTGACCCATCACCTACAGTCTGGGATGAGTTCTCTGTGACAGGGTCACTCACTCACTCACTCACTCACTCATTCACTCACTCACTCACTCATCTTGAGTACCATGCAGTAGAGTAGAGTTACTGACCCATCACCTACAGTCTGGGATGAGTTCTCTGTGACAGGGTCACTCACTCACTCACTCACTCACTCACTCACTCACTCATCTTGAGTACCATGCAGTAGAGTAGAGTTACTGACCCATCACCTACAGTCTGGGATGAGTTCTCTGTGACAGGGTCACTCACTCACTCACTCACTCACTCACTCACTCACTCACTCACTCACTCACTCACTCACTCACTCACTCACTCACTCACTCACTCACTCATCTTGAGTACCATGCAGTAGAGTAGAGTTACTGACCCATCACCTACAGTCTGGGATGAGTTCTCTGTGACAGGGTCACTCACTCACTCACTCACTCACTCACTCACTCACTCACTCATCTTGAGTACCATGCAGTAGAGTAGAGTTACTGACCCATCACCTACAGTCTGGGATGAGTTCTCTGTGACAGGGTCACTCACTCACTCACTCACTCATCTTGAGTACCATGCAGTAGAGTAGAGTTACTGACCCATCACCTACAGTCTGGGATGAGTTCTCTGTGACAGGGTCACTCACTCACTCACTCACTCACTCACTCACTCACTCACTCATCTTGAGTACCATGCAGTAGAGTAGAGTTACTGACCCATCACCTACAGTCTGGGATGAGTTCTCTGTGACAGGGTCACTCACTCACTCACTCACTCACTCACTCACTCACTCACTCATCTTGAGTACCATGCAGTTGCGTAGAGTTAGTGACCCATCACCTACAGTCTGGGATGAGTTCTCTGTGACAGGGTTGATGGTGTGTCTGTGTACCCTGATGGTGGGGATTTACTGACATCCTTTCAGTCACTGGTTTGTCTGGTCCATTACTCACAGCCTGCCATAGGGATAGAGCTGGAGTAATGCAGTCATCACTCACTCACTCACTCTCATTATCTGCTGAATGAGTTTTGTTTGTTTTGTGTGTTTGTTGTTTAACGCCGCAGTCAGCAATATTCCAGCTATATGACGGTAGTCTGTAAATAATCTTGCCAGGACCAGACATTCCAGTGATTGACATCATGAAAATTGATCCACACGAATGGGATACGATGACATGCATCAACCAAGTCAGCAACCCTGATCACCCGATCCCGTTAGTCGCCTCTTACGACAAGCATAGTCGCCCTTTAAGGCAAGCATGGGTTGCTGAAGACCTATTCTACCCGGGATTCTACGGGATCTTCCCGGATGGCTGAATGAGTAAACACCTCTGCATGGATGTTGACATTAACACTAGGCTGCACAATCACAAGAACTTAGGGCTCTAATTCTCACCAATTCCTCAACAAAACAATTCTGGAAGGTTTTACGATGCACTTAACATATCCCTGAATAGTTGTATGCAATGTTCTCTCGACTTTCTTGAGACGTGATGCACTTGTTGAGGTAGAAATATATTACTTTGGCACATATATAACATGTTTGACTTGATCTTTCATGCAAAGCATTCATGTGAACAAACACTTTGTTCCCATATTTTGTTTTTTATGTTGAATTTTTGTCATGCTTGACTCTGCTGTTTTTAAGTTGCATGCCTGTGCTTGCCCTTATTTGCTTACCCAGCATGCTTTGCCTAATGCTTTCCTCATGCTTCACTCACATTTTACAGGAACTATTTTCTCCGTGACAGGAAACGCTCCCCCCCAGTTACATCGACTTCCAAGTGAATATGCCTGCCCACCTGCCCATATGCCCAGGGCCAAACAGCCAGCTCCTGTTCAGTCACAGTAAGTACAGCAAACCTGAGCCTCTCAACCCCACAGTCACACACCTCCCCCACAGTTACACACCTCCCCAACAGTCACACACCAGCACCACAGTCACACACCTCCCCCACAGTTACACACCTCCCCCACAGTCATACACCTCCCCCACAGTCACACACCTCCCCCACAGTTACACACCTCCCCAACAGTCACACACCTCCACCACAGTCACACACCTCCCCCACAGTTACACACCTCCCCAACAGTCACACACCTCCCCAACAGTCACACACCTCCCCCACAGTCACACACCTCCCCCACAGTTACACACCTCCCCCACAGTCACACACCTCCCCCACAGTCACACACCTCCCCCGTATACCAACGCCTCCACCTCACAGGCCCACACCTCCATCCCACACCTCCATCCCACAGACCCACACCTCCATCCCACACCTCCATCCAACACCTCCATCCCACACCTCCATCCCACAGGTCAACACCTCCATCCCACACCTCCATCCCACAGGTCAACACCTCCATCCCACACCTCCATCCCACAGGTCAACACCTCCATCCCACAAACCCACACCTCCATCCCACAGACCCACACCTCCATCCCACACCTCCATCCCACAGACCTCCACCCCATACACCTCCACCCCACAATGACACACCTTCACCCCACAGGCCCACACCTCCACCCCACTATTACACTCCTTCACCCCACGGACAAACACCTCCACCTTTCACAAGGGGAGGGACTATAGAATCATTGAGGGGGAGAGGGTATATGGAATCATTGACGGGGGGGGGGGGGGGGGGTATATGGAGTCATTAAGGGGTAGGAAATATAGAATCAATGAGGGGGAGGGTATATGGAATCATTGAGGGGAGGGTATATGGAATCATTGAGGGGGGAGGGTTTATCAAGTCATTGATGGGGAGGGAATATCGAGTCATTGAGGGGTAGGGTATATGGAATCATTGATGGGGAGTGTATATCGAGTCATTGAAGGGGAAGGATCCTGTAATCCCCCTGCATTCCAGCTCTTTTACTGATATGGAATGTAGGTTGGGTGATAGTTCAAGATGTACGTGCAAACTTGAAGACATGTGCATAAATATGCATGGTTACGATACAAAAAGATGAGCATACATCTGGCACAAAATAAATACAAAATCAAAAATAATTACATGTGTTTGTTGGGAAAATATGAATGTATGATAGTATTTTGATGTTGTTTCTATGAGTTAATGAGATCGATCTGCCCACTATTCTACACTACTGTGACAGCTGGAACCATCAAGTATGGTTAATTAGTATTGGATGTGTGTGTTGTTTCAGTGGAGATGTGAATGATATTCCCCTGCCCGCTCGGCGCGAGGGACTGCGAGAGAACCAGGACCTAAACAAGGAGAACAATGGAACGATTGTGGGCAGTTTAAATGAGGAGCACGTCACCATACTCGTAGACCGGGGCTACGATCGCCTCAAAGCAGTGGAGGCCTTGAGAGTGTCGCACAACAACCTCAAAATGGCCGAGGACATTCTGGATACGTTTGTTAAAAACAATCGATGAAAAAAAGTAGGGAGTGTGATGATTCTACCAACCACCAGGGGGCACTGTCGCCACGTTTGATACGCCTGGACTGATTGTATTGAGAAGAGACGTGGGCAGAGTGCCATGTGACTTGAGACTGTTCTGCTGTAGACGTGTCGTAATCAAATAATTTATACTCACTCTACAATCAAAGTGAGGCTGCCTCGGTCTGGTCCTACCCCTCGCAGGTTCCTGGGGTCGTGTGGCGGAGAGTCACTTATGCTTTTAGTACGTTAGTATTTATGTCCGTATATCCCATGAGGCTGTGACTCTATTCATTTCAGCCGCACCAAGAGAGGAGACTTTTCTACTTTGTTTCTGTCACTGTAACATTGGGACACGCCCACAAGTTACGTTTTTGTCACTGTAACATTGGGACACACCCACAAGTTCCGTTTTTGTCACTGTAACCTTGGGGCACGCCCACAAGTTACATGTTTCTGTCACTGTAACATTGGGACACGCCCACAAGTTACATGTTTCTGTCACTGTAACATTGGGACACGCCCACAAGTTACATGTTTCTGTCACTGTAACATTGGGACACGCCCACAAGTTACATGTTTTTGTCACTGTAACCTTGGGACAGGCCCACAAGTTACATGTTTCTGTCACTGTAACATTGGGACACGCCCACAAATTGCCTATTTCTGTCGCTGTAATGTTGGGACAAGTATGCCATTCTTCAAGAGCTGGTTTTTCTCTTTGAATTGCATATCCACACGCCAGATGCACCTTTTGATAAACATGCCCTGGCCACTTGTACAAAGCATGTTGTTCGTCAAGCTGACACTCTGTTTACCATTTAGCCTGGTCAACATACTTGTAGGTGGGCATCTAGATAATACCTTTCATGATAGATGTGTTCATGAAGATTTACTAAACTGTTCATGATATTGGTACGAAGATAATCCTGACAATTAACTTGACAGCTGAATATCTTGATTATTCATGAAGAACAGCTTCACAGGTGAATATCTCAGTGTCAATAATGATAAATACGGTAACTATTACTGTAGGCGAACTTCTAGATAATCTTTCATTAAGAATGTGTTCATTATAGCTGGTTATGCCTCTATTAAGAATCTTGCTTTTCCATTGGTTATTCCGTACCACGTGACAAAAAAATACGTTTCAATGTTGACCCCCAAATCACGTGACTGACACTGACCTCAAACATTGACTTATCACATGATCAGTATTGACTTGTCACATGATCAGTATTGACTTGTCACATGATCATATTGACTTGTCACGTGATGAATATTGACTCGTCTGCTAGGAAACAAGATGGCGTCCGGTTCTAACATTTTATGGTTTGTGGGTAAGTTATTGTAATGAAACATAGAAAAGTTTAAGGGTACATGAACTTTAGATTATATTTCGGTTTAACAATACGAATGATCAAGAGAAGTTAATTGTATATTGAAGGTAACATCTCGATACTGATAATGATAGATCTGAGTTGACCTGGGACACGCCCACAAGTTACATGTTTCTGTCACTGTAACATTGGGACACGCCCACAAGTTACATGTTTCTGTCACTGTAACATTGGGACAGGCCCACAAGTTACATGTTTCTGTCACTGTAACATTGGGACACGCCCACAAATTACATGTTTCTGTCACTGTAACATTGGGACACGCCCACAAATTGCCTATTTCTGTTGCTGTAATGTTGGGACAAGTATGCCATTCTTCAAGAGCTGGTTTTTCTCTTTGAATTGCATATCCACAAGCCAGATGCACCTTTTGATAAACATGCCCTGGCCACTTGTACAAAGCATGTTGTTCGTCAAGCTGACACTCTGTTTACCATTTAGCCTGGTCAACATACTTGTAGGTGGGCATCTAGATAATACCTTTCATGATAGATGTGTTCATGAAGATTTACTAAACTGTTCATGATATTGGTACGAAGATAATCCTGACAATTAACTTGACAGCTGAATATCTTGATTATTCATGAAGAACAGCTGCACAGGTGAATATCTCAGTGTCAATAATGATAAATACGGTAACTATTACTGTAGGCGAACTTCTAGATAATCTTTCATTAAGAATGTGTTCATTATAGCTGGTTATGCCTCTATTAAGAATCTTGCTATTCCATTGGTTATTCCGTACCACGTGACAAAAAAATACGTTTCAATGTTGACCCCCAAATCACGTGACTGACACTGACCTCAAACATTGACTTGTCACATGATCAGTATTGACTTGTCACATGATCAGTATTGACTTGTCACGTGATGAATATTGACTCGTCTGCTAGGAAGCAAGATGGCGTCCGGTTCTAACATTTTATGGTTCGTGGGTAAATTATTGTAATGAAACAGAAAAGTTTAAGGGTACATGAACTTTAGATTATATTTCGGTTTAACAATACGAATGATCAAGAGTAGTTAATTGTATATTGAAGGTAACATCTCGATACTGATAATGATAGATCTGAGTTGACCTGTGACTTCCGTCACTTGGACACACCCAGAAACCTTTGGTCGAGGGTTTAAATCTTTGTTCACTCCGATTATGTTTCTAGGTTCGTCAGCTCATGGGTTTCACCAGAGTGCTAAACGTCTGAGACCTGGCTAACTTCCTGGCTTTGCCCCCACGTCAAGTTGACACATGGAGTATAACTGAAATTCTCTTCAAAGCAATGTTGGGGGCACGGGTGGCCCAGTCGTCTAAGGCGCCGCGATTCGCTGTGCAGAGTTGCGTCCCTTGGGCAGGCCAGAAACCTATGACTGTGGGTTCGAATCCCGGTTCGCCCCGATTATGTTTCTAGGTTTGTCAGCACCATACCCGTGCTCGTTGGTTTCACCGAAGTGGTAAACGTCTGAGACCTGCATCACTTCGGGCTTTCCTCCCACATTAAGCTGACTCACTCACATTCAAAGCAATGTTAAAGCCAACTGACTCCAAGTCGTCTCAAAAAGGCCGTAGTGTTCTCACCAAGTTAGCTTTATTGTGGTCATCTCATACTGGGATTTAGCAGGCACAACAAATTTCCTGGCATCTATTGCGTACAATGGGACATACGTGTTATAGGATAATCCTATGTTACGAGGTAATGTAAATCTTGAAGTTAACGCGAGCATGAATTAAATGATAAAATGCGAGTGGTCTTTGTTCGCATTAATGAAACTTCGTATTTATGTCTCCAAAATGACTATCAACAATATGACTTCGGATAGCGCACACTTTGGATAGCGGAAATACCAACCTGAATATATACACAAACATGGTTTATTGAGCAGCAGTTGTAACAAGTACATAACAATGTCATTTAAAGAATAGGAATTACACAAAGGGCATCCGGTGAGTTATCACTGCTGGGGTCAAGAGTTCTACCCACTCGTGTCAAACTAGGCATCATTGACCACTGTTTGATTGGATTAGGGTAAGGATTCCTATCATTCCACTGGGGATGGGGTGGGGGGAGTCGCATTGATTTTGAGTCGCATTTTTTGGCTAGGGGTCAGCAGTCGTATTAATTTGGAGACACTTTAATTTCCAGATTTACAGTATATTGTTTGTGGTGTTCATCACTGAAAATGAAATTCGGCATTGATTCTGGGTGGGTGTGTCTTTATTCTTCCAAATACCTGCAAATAGTGCGTGAATTTGTATGCATATTTATGACATGTTTATTATTGTTTTTTTTTGTAAAATTTCTCTTACGACTACCCTCCTGATTTCTGATTTCTGTAAATCTCTGTGAGACCATTTGATCTAGTACATACCTTCTGATAGAATAGACAAGATGGGTGATCAGTTGACAAACGCTGATAGGGGCACCTTGACCGTACATCCCCACTGCGTCTATGCTATGCTAGAATATACAGATTCCTGCAGGATATGAGTATCAATTGAGATAACGCTGATAGGGGCACCTTGACCGTACATCCCCACAGCGTCTATGCTCATTGCTGTGCTAGAATATACAGATTCCTACAAGATGGGAGTATCAATTGAGATAATGCTAATAGGGGCACCTTGACGGTACATCCCCACCGCGTCTATGCTGTGCTGGAATATACAGATTCCTGCAGGATGGGTGTATCAATTGAGATAAAGCTGATAGGGGCACCTTGACCGTACATCCCCACAGCGTCTATGCTATGCTGGAATGTACAGATTCCTGCAGGATATGAGTATCAATTGAGATAACGCTGATAGGGGCACCTTGACGGTACATCCCCACCGCGTCTATGCTGTGCTGGAATATACAGATTCCTGCAGGATATGAGTATCAATTGAGATAACGCTGATAGGGGCACCTTGACCGTACATCCCCACTGCGTCTATGCTATGCTAGAATATACAGATTCCTGCAGGATATGAGTATCAATTGAGATAATGCTGATAGGGGCACCTTGACGGTACATCCCCACCGCGTCTATGCTGTGCTGGAATATACAGATTCCTGCAGGATGGGTGTATCAATTGAGATAAAGCTGATAGGGGCACCTTGACCGTACATCCCCACAGCGTCTATGCTATGCTGGAATGTACAGATTCCTGCAGGATATGAGTATCAATTGAGATAACGCTGATAGGGGCACCTTGACGGTACATCCCCACCGCGTCTATGCTGTGCTGGAATATACAGATTCCTGCAGGATATGAGTATCAATTGAGATAACGCTGATAGGGGCACCTTGACCGTACATCCCCACAGCGTCTATGCTGTGCTAGAATATACAGATTCCTGCAGGATGGGTGTACCAATTGAGTAATGCTGCTCAACATTTGCTAAGGACCACACCATTGACTGAAGATGAATGTTGTTCAAATGTTGAGTCGTATATTATTGCATTCAAAATAGGAGCATCTTTAACTTGATAAGTCTCCTGTAAGAGTCGGGGGCACAGATGGCCCAGTTGTCTTAGGTGCCGCGATTTGCTGTGCAGTGTATGATTGTGGGTTCGAATCCCGGTTCACCCTGATTATGTTTCTAGGTTTAGTGAGCACCATACCCGGGCTCGTGGGTTTCACCAAAGTGGTAAACATCTGAGACCTGCATCACTTCGGGCTTTCCTCCCACTTTAAGCTGACAAGAAGTAATATAATTGGAATACTGTTAAAAGCTGAGTTATGCCATACTCACTCACTCACTCACACAGCCTAGGCACTAGAAGGTTGCAAACACGGTTTGTCTCAACTTGGACTGGCCGTTCTGTTGAAAAAAACATGCAAACGGCGTAGTCCTGTTGTGGCTGAGTTCTTTTGGAATGTCAGAGTTCTTCTGTTGTGATTAATAAGGTGTGTTGACCAGAATAGGTAGGATAATGTACACAGCTGTCTAGAGCTGCAATTTCACACAGGAATTATTTGTATTTTGCATTTGTTAATTGACACTTATTAACTACTGGGTCATGCGCTATAAGATGATACGAGTGCTGCGACTATCGTAAGTCGACGATAGAATTTCAACAGTGGAAGGAGGCCCTGAATTCTGTGTTGCGGAAGGAAACTAGCTTTGGGATCAAGACTGACGTTCCAGATGACATAAATATTGTCAGATAAGGTTTTTATTTGCTGTTGTTCACCTTTGAAAAATGACAAATTCCTACCATTCGACTGGACATTTTGTTCTTAAACTGAACTATGAGATGTCCTCAGTCTCTGTTACAAGCAGCAACACAGGTTCAAGGTTATCTTAACGAGGTAGGTAATCAGTACAAGGCCCTCATTTGCAAACTTAAAAACTTTGCATGAAACTATATTTTCCTTGGAATATACTATATATTACATGTGTATATTAATGGGAAATACTAAACATCTAAGTGTGAAATAAGTAGTTGAGTCTATCATTATAGGCCAATGCGATATCTTCTTCCTTGTACATGTTAACCAAAGTATTATTTGCACTCACATCGGCAGTGTCCTCCACACTCTACAGGCCCTGGTTTAAGGGCCAGGGGTGGCCCTGGTTTGAGGGCCAGGGGTGGCCCAGGTTTAAGGGCCAAGGGCAGCCCTGGTTTGAGGGCCAAGGGTGGCCCTGGTTTGAGGGCCAGGGGTGGCCCTGGTTTGAGGGCAAGGGGCAGCCCTGGTTTAAGGGCCAGGGGTGGTCCTGGTTTGAGGGCCAAGGGTGGCCCTGGTTTGAGGGGCAAGGGTAGCCCAGTCACCTAAGGTGCTGCAGTGTGCTGCAATTCCTCCCTCAGGCATGCCGTGA